CTTTCTTTCTTTCTTTCTTTCTTTCTTTCTTTCTTTCTTTCTTTCTTATAAAGTCAATAACAAATGCAGTATCCAACTTCTGTGTCAGTATCTTATGCAAGAATGTGCTAAAGAGCTAACCTCAGGCTAAGGGCTTCATGATTTGAGGAAATTATTCTCCAGCCCTTCATCCTGTCTTTCTGTTCAACAGTTGTGACCTGGTACATAGTTCTCGTGTGTATGCGGGCCTTGTGGACTTATGAATTTAATTGCATATTTGCTTGTTTATTGAGGCCCAGTCTCAGCATGTTGCCCAGGCTGGGGTCAAGTGATTTGCCCCACCACACCCCCCATCCTGAGCCTTCCCAGTAAGCCCACATCATCACTCTTGGATTATACACGGGCTTTTAAGTGGGGTGGGTTGTTTGCTTGGTTTTGTTTTTTTATTTTTATTTTTCAAGATTCATCAAATGCTCAATACTGATTTCTCTCACTTTTAGATAAACAAACCCTTGACCTGGACACACAGCAATAATATGCCCTGCAGGGATTTTTTTTTTTCACCAGACTTTTTTAATATTGCTCATTTCAGTGAATTCACTAATCCCTGCAGGTGCTTCTGTGGGGAGTCTGCATTCATGAAAGCATTTCACTGCAGGCTGTTCATACAAAGTACAGTTAAAGGAGTATTTCCGCCACGAGTTCTTATATCTTGGCCGTTTCTTTCTCTAATAATATCTGTAGATATGATTAAGGGTAATATCACCTAATGTACTCTAGCATGGTAGAGTGGAAAACAACAGACTTGAACTAAAAAAAAAAAAAAAATTACTTTGTGACTATTTCACATTTACTAGCAGATATGTGCCCTAAAAAACACTAATTTGTTATTATGCTTAATTTTCTCTTTCACAAAATTGCATGGCTCATTTTTTTCAGTATCAAATAAGAAGACATAAAATACCCTGTGGGTAATATAAAATTGTTACTATTATCACTATTATTACTCTTCTTATTTTACATAATTTCTATTTATATATCTATGTTATGATTCTACCCTAGAAAATACAATATTATTTTCAAGTTTGGTTTTTTTTTTATTTTATTATTTTATGAGTATAAGTGATTTGTTTGTATGTCTGTGCACCAAATGCAAGCCTGGTACCCATGGAGGCAAGACAGGGCTTTCCTCTGGAACTGGAGTTACAGATGATGGTGAGCTACCATGTGGATACGGACAACCAAACCAAGATCCTCTGGGAGATCAGCCAGTGTTCCTAACCATGGAGCATCTCCAGCCCTTATTATTTGGCTTCAATAGGATGATCAGGATTGAAACCAACAGAGAAATGTCATTTATTTATTTATTTATTTATTTATTTATTTATTTATTTATTTTACATTTGACTCCCTTGTCTTATTTTTCCCAGTGTCCACCACTTCTCACAGTATGTAGGAAATTACATAATCCTTTGCTTCCTCTTTCAAGCAACATACAAATATTTTTCTCTTAAGAAGATGATCAATAGGGGAAAATGAATAGAATTATTTTACCTTATTGTCAAAGCAAATGAGCATATGAACTTATTAAAGATCCATGTTCCTCATAAAAATACATCTATTCTTACTGACTAGAAAATAATGACTAGAAAATAATAATGATTCATGGACATAATTAAAATTTAAAACCATAAATAGGAACAGTTTGCATGCATGGTCCTTCATTTGAATTTTCTTATTTTGTGTTGTGAATACTCACTGAGAGAACTCTAAGAGAACTCAGAGCTGTTGGATCTGATGCACCCACAACAACAACTAGAATGTTGTTATAGACCTTTGTCCTAATCACATGATATCACATTGTGCCCATGCTGAAGGACGCTGAAGAATGGCTTCGGACACAACACAGTCCTTAAAAGAGCTTATCTCATTGATGAGCCAGATGTCTTCCATACTATCAACTTGGGCTTTGGAAATCCATGAGGTGCTTTTTAGGGAATGAGACGACAAAGCAGCATTAACATCAGCTTTTCATCTGGTTAATTATAGACTAATTTCCTGGCTCCAAAATAAATAGCTGTATGATCCTTTGATTTTGAAACCCTCCGATAAATGGGGAAGTCCCAATATTCTCTAGGGTAACATGGTAAGGGTGCTGGTTTCTATTGGTTTGTTTGTTTTGTTATTGTTGTTTTGTTCATAGATTTAGCCTTTAAAATTAAAGTTTCAATTGTCACCCAAGCATGGTGGCACACACCTGTAATCTCAGCATTCAGGGAGGCAGAATCAGGCAGAGCTCTGAGAGTTCTAGACCAAGCTGGTCTACAAAGTGTGTCCAGGACAGCCAGAGCTGTCTCAGGGAAAACAACAACAATAACAAAAAAGATGTAGTTGTCTTGTATCAATTACTTCTATTAAACATTACCTTTTTTTCTTTTTTAGCATGTTACTGAAAAGAATATTGGATCATCTTCTAAACCAGGAGAAAAGAAAGGATCAGATGAGGTACTTTTTGCAATGATTATTATCATTTTCTTTGTTTTGCTTTTAAGATTGTGAATTTTGTTTTTCAATATTAAATAGTAGTGTGGTAAAGTTGTCACGTTCAGGGAGTTTTTCGCCTGTCTTTGTGCTGTGCTGTGCATGTGTGTGCAGTGATGTTTTAGATGTGGACACTGCAGGTGCATGTGTATCATGCACATGGTATGGAGGTCAGAGGTCAGAGGTCAGTTGCCTTCAAAGTTGATTCAGGGTCTGTTATTTCTCTGTTATATACACAAGGTTTGTCAACCCAAAATTTTCCAGGGATTCTCCTGTCTCTGCCTCTCACCTCCTTGTAGAAGCACTGGGATTACAGATACTCACACTATGGATATAACTTTTTATGAGTGCTGGGGATTTGAACTTGTATCTTCATGCTTGCATGGCTAGTGATTTTACCCAATGAGTTACATTCCCAGGCTTGAAAATTTTAGCTTTAACTAATATTTGATTCAAGAATTTTAGTGGGAAATCATGAAAATAAAATCTTCATACTGATCCTCAGAAGGAAACTTTTTTTAGACAGTTTCAATTTAGAAACATTTTTTAATGTCTTTCTGTAAGAATTAAGAACCTTTGTTTTGCCGGTGAGCATGGCAAATATAGAAGGGAGCTGAATGCAATGGCAGGAGGGGACATATGTTTTCATGAGAGTACACCATGAAAGGAGAGCAGTGATGGCCTAAATTAACGGGCCATTCAGGTTTGGAGACAAAGGGAAGAGAACTGTTTGTATCTGCATCAGTTTAGTGGAGACACTGTAAGAACAAATCTCATTGCCTTGAGGTGTGTTTTCTTGCTCTTGTGAATTTCTGCTTTGACTGATGACAACCATTCTGGGTTCCCAGTACTGACCAACTTCACTCCGGAATTGTCCTGTGATAGTTTTGTTCTCCAAAGGGTACTGGGTTTCCATCACTGTCTTGTTACCGGTTTCCAGAGGACTGTATTTACCAACCCATCAGAGTGATTCTTTTGGAGAATAATTTTACAGTCGTGGAGCGATTCATTGTCAGTTGTTCACACAACTACCTGTTAGAAAAGAATTGTTCCCTGTCTTCAATGTCTTGGTGGATATTCTCAGGGGATCTTATCACTTTTCCTCAGAAAAAGTTGTCTCACTTCCCATTATTAGTGGCAATATGGACTCAAAGACGGGATATATAGAAAGCATAAAGTAGCTGTCTTATTTTTTTTTCATTATCAGTATTGATCAGGTAAATTGAGACTCTCTTCCTGCTCGTTTTCTGCAGTTCTGGAACATTTGGTGTGTAAAGAGGCTAACTGTTTTTTGTTTGTTTTTGTTTTGTTTTGTTTTTGTCAACTTTCTACCAATATCCATTAAAATACTTTAGAGTATTTCTTTTTATTATATTTTAACCTTTAGTGAGTGTGAATTGTGTGTGTGTGTGTGCGTGCGCGTATGTGTGTAGGTCACAGATATGGCAGTGTGTATATGAGGGTCAGAGGACAATTCTTTCAGGAGTCAGTCCTATGGGTCAAGCTCAGATCACCATGCATTACAACAATAACATTGACGCAATGAACCACCTTACTGATGCTAATTTTCAATGTTTCTTACCATAGAAATTTGTGTTTAATTTTCCTCTATGGAATTCACATTTTTTAAATCCAAAATTAAAAGTAAGATTTTATCCCATTTCCTTTAAAAATTATTAAATAATTTCTTATATAAACACTCACATTTTTCCATTTCCTAACATCATGAAGGTATCTGCTGTCACTTAGTCATTTTATCAACACCACCCTTTAAATATATTCCCAGATTAGTTATCTATCAATTAATTTTACTGAGGCAAATAGCAAGAACTTTCTATTTGAAATTATAGTGTCCTTTATTTTTCAAAGGAGGACATAAGTTCTTGGGTATTATTCTCAGTTGATACTTGTTAAACTATATGCACAAGAAAGAAGATCTTATCTGATACAGCAAAGTGGATGATAAAGCAGTTTCCATACTGTCTTTCTGACCAATTGCATTATAATTTGGGAGCGTTGAAACATATCTTAAGTGGACAGGCATTGTTGGTTCAGGCATAATTGCTTCCACAGTCTTTGTGCTATATGGATTTTAAAGCCTATCTTGCTTGTCAAAGGTTTGGCAGGATTACTCAGAAGCCCTTTGGGGAATCTGGTAGGAAAGAAAGGTTTGACTCTGCCAAGGCATACTTCACTTTGGATTTGGAACTGTAAAGTCATTGTATAGATCAAAAGGGGAGAAAAACGGTTCTGTCTGTAATTGGAACACTCTGACATCGTTCTATATCATTGCTGAGAAATTCACATTCATAACTCCTGCCCCTGTGCTTGAGGCTATTTTTGCTCTGTTCCACCTGGAAGACATTAAGCTAGAATAGAGTCTTTCCTCTCCCCTGTAACTTAAATTATTGCTTTAGACAAAACAAATTCAATAGAATTTAAATATGCAAAGAATAATCCATGAAATAAGTAATATCTTCAAACTGGCAGAGTTCTATGAGCTCTGGCCTGTTATCAAATTCTGACTACTTCTCTGCCAGGGAAGACAACTGTGGGGATAGTTCAAGAAACTGTCTTATGTTCAGCAATTTTTAGCTTTTGTATTTATAGTTTTGTGGCTAAAGTTTTTAGAAACTAAAACTGGTGGCTACCCTATCTACCATCCATGGTCAGTTACTGTATCTTTTCTTTTCAAAATTGCTGGAGAAGGGCCTTCTAAAACTGATTCTTTTTTCCAAATAGATATTTTTTTTCTACCACTCTCCTGAAAAAATAGGTAGGATTAAGAAAATTTGAGGTGTGTGTTCTGTCACAGCACTGTCTTTGCTACTTTGGTGCTGACAGAAGGTCCTATGTTCAAAGTCAGTCTGAGTTTCAAAGTGAGGCCCTATTTCAAAGCAAGCAGATGCATGAGAAACAGACAAGCGAAACAGTTCTGGGTTTTAGTAATCTGTTCTCAAACCAGAAGACCTCACTATATTATCCCAAGAATATGAAAGTACAGGAGAAAATCAGTGTGGAAACTATTCCGTGAGTAGAGGTCAGTCGTGATGATTTTTTTCTTCCATTTTTGTTTCCTCCTTTTTTTTTTTTTTTTTTCCTGAGCATGAGACAAAGGCCTAAACGAGGCATTTGAGGGTAGTATAATGAGAACAAATGATGTTTAATGATAAAGGGCAACTACCAATATATTGTATGTGTTTCAAAACTTTCTCCTTAAGTATTGTCGGTAGCAGCTACAGGGATCTAATAGTATGACGCATGTATGAAGCCTCATTTATCATGTTGCATTTCAAATGCAAAGCTTGAAGACAGACGTGGGTAAGAGCCTGTGAAAATTTACATACATCATTTATTAAGAATTCATCAAGTTTTTCTCAAATGTAGGGACATTCTAAGACCAATAGTTGCTTGAGTTAAGAAAGCTAAAATAGAGCCAGAGCAGAGACAAAAATAAAAATAAAAACATTTAACACCAGCATCTTTAAATACAGTGTAACAAAGAAGTCTCCCAAAATGTGGAATTAAATCTATTTAAAGTATTTGACTGCCAGATCTGGCCACACTGGGGAAATATGAACTTTTTAGAAACTTTATTTAGTGATGTCCTGGAAAAAAAAATACCTGAAATGACAGATCTTTCAGAGACAAATTTAAAATCCTCCAATTTAGTGATGAGTGTGTTTTGTAACTAAAGAAAGAGATGCATAAGTAGCATTGAAGGGAAAGGTAGCTTATATACATTTATCTTGCCTGAATAGCCTGGCTTCCTTATTATTTACTTCTCATTTTAACATGCATAAATAAATTATTGAATGAGTCAAGAACAAACTTCATGAATATTCATGTCCTGACATATGGTGACATAGGATCTCCACTTAATCTAAGTTCTTCCATATGTTATATCACCCCTAGAATACTAAGAATGCCCAATCCAAAATGAATGCCATTGGAAGAGTTGTTACAATGCATTATTTATGGAAAAATGACAAAGGATTTTTTTTTGTATTCTATACATCTGAAAATTTCCCCAAATATCTTTGATCCATGGTTAGTTGAATCCATAGATATGGAAGACTGTATACTTAATGTAATGCCATTTTCTAAGCTAAGACAAGAAAGGACCATCATTAATAGGATATGGACTGGAAATAAGTGATAACTAATTTTGAGGCAGATAAATCTTTTCCAATAAAAAGAGAAAAGAACCATCACTGGATGTAGTAGCACAATCCTGTGGTCATAGCACTGGGGAGGCAGGATTAACACTGATTTGTAGAGCAAGGTTCTTGGCCAGTCAGGGCTACATCAGAAGAGCTTGTCTCAAATACTTTTGGACAGTGTTTCCTCGTGTAACTGATTTAGCCATCATTATTATCAAGTCCTAGAGTGGACTCCTAAACATTGTTTTATAGTTATAAACCATTGCAAGAGTCTATGCTAACAGTGCATCATTCATTATGTCTTACAAGCTCATATTCCATTGCCAAATGGGACACAGTGTTAAAAGGTGTGCCACAGCAAGTCTAATTTGTCTTTCCTTGATACTAGTGCCTAATAACTGCACCAGCTTTCATGCTGTATTAGTTAGTTTTATGTCAATTTGAGAAAAGCTAGAGTCTCTTGGGAGACTCTCCTCTGAGAAAAGTTCTCTATAAGATTTGCTTATAGGCAAATCTATTTGACTTCTTGATAGTGATTGATGTGTCAGGGCCCACTGTTGTGCCAACCCTGGACAACTGGGCTTAAGTTGTGTAAGAAAGCAAGCTGAGCAAGCCATGAGGAGCAAGCTGGTGTACAGCATTCTTCCATTGTCTCTCTTTCAGTTCCTGTTTTCAGGTTCCTACCTTGAGTTTCTGTCTTGATTTTCCTCAGTGATAAGAGTATGAACTGAGAGTTGTAAATTAAATAAACCCTTTCCTTCCCAAGTTGCTTTTGGTCATGGTGTTTTAACAAAGCAATAG